ATATTCACCGGCAAACCCCAGCCCCGGCCCGCTGCTGAGCTTCACCCTGACTCTGCTCCAGCTCTGGAGGGCGCGGGGTGGGGGAGGTGGCAACAGAATCCAAAGGACAGACAGTCCCTGCCCTCGGTGCTGTGCACTGTTCGGTCAGAGGGAATGGCTCCTGCCTCGTGCCCATGTGGTCATTTTCCATTGCGGACCACAGGTGGCACTCCACACCTACCATCAGGAAGAGGGGACCCTCGAAAATAGACACAGGGAATTATTAGATATCCATCCTTCCCTGGCCTACTCAGCAGCTACACTTAGTGTTCCTATACATGATTCTAAGGCAATATAAAATCTGGATAATCAAAGGCACGTTGAAGCCAGTTCAACATTTCTAATGAAAACACATTTTAGAGAGAAGTTTTAAGTAAGTGTTGAAACAAACAAAACCCTTTCTTCTTAAGTCTGAACATTCTCTTAATTGAGATTTTTGTGAACTTGACTTCTTATTACACAGTACCAAGAGCACATACTTCGGGCAGGGGAGGGGAGACGACAATAAGGAAAGGGGAACAAAACCAAATGTTGCGTTTACCCGTGCTCATTATAAAATTACTTAATTTAAAATTAAAATTTTCAGTCAACAGAACACTGTCCTTTAAGCGCTTAGCCAAGGCTGCTGGTTATTCCCAAATATCCATGATGCCTACACCTTTAATAATGGAACCCTGGATTTTAGCTCATCACCTGGTCACCCAGCACTACACTCTCCTTGCAGCTAAGTGGCCAAGTGACAAAGTTCTGGCCAGTGGGATGCAAGTGTAAATGTGTGTGCAACTTCGAGGGCCAGACCCTTAAAGGGGAAAGACCTGCCTCTACAGCTCTGTCCCCACTCTGCTGGCTGGACCCGTGGGACAGTGAAAACCAGAGAAACCATTTTAGAGCATGAGGTAGAGACTTTGTGTTAAGGAAGCAGAGCAACAAAATAGAAGGAGCCTGGGTCCCCATCACCATCAAGCTATCCTATCAGCACCAGATGGCCTTGCCAGACTTTAGTATGAGAGATACATTATTAGCTTCAATCTTCTTTAAGCCACCCCTATAGTAGCTGAATTTGTTTCCTGAATAATACAATTACCAACATTTTAGAACATCTAACCACTTGATTTTAATATTTCAAGAATGAAATTTTTTCTAGAACTGTTACACTTTCTTAATTCATTAAACAGAGCAGACAGAATATAATTTACTCTTTTTTGAATCAGGAGGCATAATTACTATTCTGAACAATAACACAAAAAGATTGGGAAAGTGCAGGGGACTGTCAGCCCAACATTAAGTGGCCTCCGGCCCTTGGGCTTGGTTGTTTCATGCCTAATTCCTGCAGTTTTTCTGACTCCCCTCACAATCAAACTATCAAGGATCAAATGTGCCTAGAACTTCAAACATAGAGGTGCTCAATAAATGTTACATGTTATTGCTACTAGTATTAATTATTACCATTATGTATTGGGGACAAATGGCTATTTCAAAAGTCTAGTACTTTTTTTCTGCTTAAATCAGAATTTCAATTATAAAGACACAAAAACCGGAAATCTCACTATGTGGAGAGAGTCATCTGTTTCTACAGAATGGAAGCTAGTTTCTCCTCTCCCTTTACCTCCTTTAAAAGACTTCAATATCCCTGGCTATTGTGGCTAAGTGGATTGAGCACCAACTTGGGAACCAAGAGGTCCCCAGTCTGATTCCTGGAACAGGTCCCCAGCTGGAGGTGTGTGGGAAGCAATTGGTCTGATTGATGTTTCTTTCCCTCTCTCTAAAAATAAGTAAACAAAATATTTTTAAAAAAATAAAAAGACTTCCATGGGGGTTTTTTTGGTTTTGTTTTTGTCATGGAATCTACCTGTTGACCTTCGGGAGTCTCTGAATGAAGAACCTAAATAAATAGCAGATGTTGCAAAAGAGATGTAAAGATTCTGTTTGATAATGAAGAAGACTCTTTCCATGGCAGTCAGAGTACAGCTCTGCAGAAAAAAATACAACGATAAGAGGTGTTTGCTTCCTTTGATGTGTGCGAGAACTGGCAGCAAGGCCATCCAATGATGCTCTCGCAGCAGTGAGCATGTGCCAGCAATGTGGCTGTGGGCCAGGGCCGAGAGAGAGGTGCCAGCTGGGCCCTGGGAGGAGGCGTGCCCTCTGAACTCCAGAGCATGGACACTGGGCTGCCCGTGGAACTTTCCCTTTTCTGCTTATAATTCACTCATGGTACTCTCAAGGCTCAGAGAAGGGGTTAAATGTCAGAGCCTCGGGTAGCAGAAGCTTGTTCCCTACTTGGGCCAGAGAGAGTCCCACATGTGCCGGAGCACAGTGATTGGCAGAGCAGCCTGGGACAGCACCAAGCAGGAGGTGACAAACATCAACCAGCATGGACCTGTGTCACAGTCGGCAAACCAGAAGCTCTTGGAATGTCCTGGGGACGAGACTGACAAAGCCTCAAACACGTATTTTATTATGATAATATTGTTAGTATAAATATATTACAATGTTACTATTGATATGACAAAGTTATGTTATTTATTATTTTATAATACTGTCCATATTTCATTGTTCTTCTTTTATTAACCTATTATCATAGAATTATGGCAGTAATTATTATTATCCTGTCAGTGTCCAGCTGTGTGTATGGTCTTCTCCTCCAAAATGTCTTCCTCTTCAAACCCCTGGCTGTTAATAAACTGCTATAATTGAGTTTGTAAGGCATGTGTCTATAGTACAGGTAACCAAAATTTCAGGGAAGGCTCAACAGCATTTTCTTAAAATACAAGATCTTTAAGAGTTGACCAAGTACTATCTTATTTTGCTTACTCAGCATTTTTAAACAACATCTGGCTCCCCAACGGTGTCCCAGATGGCTGAAATTGCCAAATGTGTGGTTATTTGGTAAATGGAATGAAACTGTACAGTCTCTTTGCTGGCTTCTCCACAATCAAAACCCTGTGTTAATGGTAAATGGGCCTCAGGGTCTAAGAAACTGTCCGAATAAAACTGGAGAGACTTAATAGTTTGCCAACTTTATTTTGCCAAATAGGACTTTTTAAAAATTCACAACATTTGACACTATACGTGACAATATACGACACCATATAAAATAAACTTTAACAACAAAATAGAAGGAACCAGATATTTCAGAATAAAGGATAATTCTTTAAGTGAAATCATTTTAGCTTTATGAAGTTGATAAACGCTTGTTATTTTTCTCACATCATGAGTGGGTTGGAACTTCATGCAGACTGGCACCTAGTTTGGAGCCATTCTTCTCAGACACTTGGGGAGCTGCTGGGGAGCTGTTTAGGCTGGCCTAAAACAATTCCCGCACACTTGCCCAAACTCATGGGTGGTGGACTTAAGGAAGAGCTGTGGCCCGCTGTCAAAGCGAACCTGAGCCCTGCCTGCCTCGTGCAGGGCCTGCATCGTCTGCTGAGCATCCCAAAAGCTTCCTTCCTGCCCCGAGGTGTCTTTGAGTGTTAGGAGCACAGAAAACTGCCCTTTGGAGGAGGCAGGGAAATTGCAAAGTCAGGTTCATTCCAGGGAGTGAATTTTCATTTTCCTTGGCCCCAGAAATGCTGTGTCTGTCAGTAATTTTCATTCTTGGGTCACGGCTCCCAGGGGAGAAGGAGAAAGGCCAAACAGAAAAGTTTTCAGTGTGTTTCTTCAGCTCCTGGATTTGCTCCCTGGCTCTATAAACAGAGAGGCTGCCCGGCTCCAGCCTTCCAGATGCAATTCCCAGACCCGGCAGCTGCGCAGGTAGCTGACCGGGGAGACCCACCCTGTGTCAGCTCTAGAGACCCAAGTCTGAAGCAGCCGTGCCATGAGGAAAATGAGCTCTCCTCGTTAGAATAACAACCAGTGACAAAGACTTAACCCAAAACTTTTTACTGAAACCAATGATCCCCAAATAGATTTGAGTCACTTCCCCCTACCTACCGTTTTTATTTTCCAGCAGTTGGAAGAACTGCAGAGAACCAAAGGGATAAAGGCTGAATTCATAACCAGTTCTTCCGGAAGCCTCCTCTTTCTGCTGACCTGAAATAATTTCCATACGTTTTCCTAAATCTATGGGAGTTAATTGCCAATTTGCATTTTGGTTGGAGCATTCACATCTCAAAATGGAAACATAAGCTCTTTACTTCAAGACAAGTAAACGAAGGAAAACTTCTGCAGCTCATTTTCTAATGCCAGAAAGGCTAGTGGAGAACAGCTCAGTCTTTCCTCTCCAGGAGCCTCTTCAAAAACATCTCAGGGGAGAAGCTAGTCCTGGGGTCTGGGCTGCTTTATGTGACTGCAGTTACACTGGAGAATTTTTTCTCCACTCCCCAGCCTCTCCAAATCATTAATTCTTAAAAGGGTCACAGGATTTTAATTTTGCCCGATATGCCTCCTTGGAGCCAAACTTGACGTCAGCACCTTTTTGTAAGCAGGAAACTATGAATTAACACCCAGCATTTTCAGGATGAGTCCCCTTGTTGAGGCTCTATTTGGGAAAACTCTTCTGTGTCCTTTGACACTAGCCCGCTCACATTATTAATTTAAATGTCTCGGGAACATCATCTGCTTCTACTAAAATAAATGACAAATGAGTTCTGGAAAGCAGTTTTGAGAGCCGCCCCAAAAGGCACAGTCAGGGGAAAGCGCAATGTCTGAAACATTAATTTAGATGCGAGGCTGAATAATGTGTGTTTAGCTCTGACCCTAAAATCTGCTCGCCTTACAACTTTCCCCATCTGGTGTAATTTGCTTTCTCCGTTTGTAAAAATGCATGCGACGGCAACAGCATGCATTGTGTGCCATGTTGTAACAATGAGGCCGCGTCTGTCACAGCTCCAGTGACAGAAACTTACAGACTCCATGTTTACCCTGCTCCCAACCTTTCCGCACATCCTGCAGTTGGAGTTCCGCCCCAGCACCCATGCCCCAGCCCAATACCACTTTGGAGAAAGGAGATGATGGAGCCGTACCTTGTACCCGGGTTTCCGCCCTCTTTTCTTTGGGATCTTCACTGCTGGTAAAGAACCAGCTGAAGCAGAATAAAGGTTATGAACTGCCATCTTCACAGGCGTTGAGTGAAGTGGGGGTCGGCCTCGCTTTCTCCCAGGGATCCTCTGAGACTGCATTTCTGCTGGTGCCAGTCTTACAGAAGGAAGTGACAAATCGTTCACAGGCAGAAGAGGTGCTAAGAATTAGTCCAGACACAAAGCAAAACAAAAACAGAAGTGTTTGTTTGGTTTGCAAGGCAAACATGGATTTGGTTTGGTGATCTGGTCACACTACCCCTTACTGGAGGGGAAGACCAGCTACGAGAGTGCCAGGCACTGCCAGGAGCTTTTATGGTGCTGCTGAGCTGAGCTCCTGGTGTGATTTCAAGGATAGCGAATTTCCACGGGACTCTAGTGAAGCAGGAAAGATACTGGCTAGGTGGGAAGGACAATAGGTTCCCAGCTCCAGACACAATTGATAGTGTCACCAGCAACAAGACAACTTGATCTGTGTCTCAGTTTCCCCAGTTAGTTCAACTCTGAACTGATATAATAATAGCATTAAATAAACACAACCATTCTCTCACACTCACTTCTATCCCTTTGGTTTGGTTATAAATTGTTATGAACTTTTTTCCATGAAAGAAATTTAACAGTACAAATCAACTGTATTAAAGTCAACTGTGTCCCTCAGTCAAATTGTGGGGAGAAATTTAGATAAAAGAATGTTTATTTTAACAGGATTTAGAACTGCAAACATAAAAATGGATCTAGCCCAAACAATAAGAGAGGAATAGTTGATTTATCTACAGAATAAAATGATCAACTAGTTAAAAGCCTTAAAAAACATTCTTATTAATATAAGGTTGAATGAAAAAGCATCACACAAATTATACATAAACAGTGTCTCAATTACCCCATAATCTATATGGTGAAAAAGTAAAAAGAAATGTGCTAAAGTGTTACCAGTGACATAGATAGTAGGACTCTGGGTAAATATTCACCATGTACAAATCCTTTCCTCCAAGCAGATACCTCACATACTATAATATTCTTAGCATTAAAGATACTAATAAGAAACTTCTCAAGTAGACTTGGCCAAATATTTCAGCAAGAGCTAGTTGATCATCCCCAACCCAGAGAACATAACCAGTGCCATGAGCTCAGGGGTCAGATTTCCTGGAACGTTCAGGAATGAGATCCAGTTGGACTGAGTTGACTTTAACTCAGGAGGGATGTTAGGACATTTTCTGAGAATTACTGGTACCTAACAGTGGGAATGAGAAGCTCTTGTTCAAAAGGTGGCAGACTTGGGAAAGATGATTGAAGCAGTTCCTACCCCCTGCTCTGGGCACTACCGCAGGAACCAGTCTGCTTTGCTCAAGGAAGAAAACGTCAAAGAGTGGAAAGTCTTAAAACATTGACACGGGAAATTTTGGGCATCTTTTCTAGATATAAGTTCACTTTGTTATTTCTCTGAATATAACCACATTCTATTAACAATCTTGATTGTTCTTGGAAATATCATACCTAGTAAACAGAGTTTTAAGGCACAAATTTATTGATTGATTGCATTGTTAAATAGTTCAGATAGATGAACACACTGTTGGGGATATCAGTTTTCCCTGTTTTTGTCAGTGTAGAAGGAATACCACACCTCACTGATTCTGGGATACATGTTTTGCACACACTACCATTGAAATTAGGGTGCACTGTACAGCACTGTATGCACATACAAATCCCACATGGAGCAGCTTTCTTTCTTAGCGGTACCAGAAATAGTGGCATGTGATATAGTCAAAGACATCTTGGAATCAACGGATCATGATCAATGAGGATAATAAACCCATCAACATTATTCCATTTCTAGATTTCATGCCTATACTCCACAATACCAACAAATATCCAAAATATTCATTTTCAAACAAGATGCATCCAAAAACATTAAAGAACCACCAAAATTTATCCAATAAGATTTTTGCTATATGAAACTTGATCTGAGTCCCACTTTGAACTATCAAGATCAAGCTCCTCCTTATTCATTATTGTTTATAGACTTTGGAAACAGGAATTTTTCCTAGTCTAGGGCACGTTTCTCTGCCTTTCGACTTTGTCTCTAGTAAGGAGGTCAGCAATGTATCAATTAACATCAAGATCAAAAGCCAACAAACCCACTCTCAGAGACAGACTGAGTCTCAGGTCCTCTTGAAGACTCGCTGTCTTCCCTCGCTGGTGAGCTGGGCCACTGTGCTGAGAGTGCTCCCTCGCAAAACTCTTCTTGTTGAATGGGTTTTGAAGAGTAAAGGAAGGGTAACAAGGTAATTCGTTTATTATCCTATAAGTTTGCATCACTCAAAAAGACACTTAATGATCTCAAAATTTCGCAGTATGTCAGAAAAATATTTCCTTGGGAAAGTGTCACCTTTTAAACTGGGTTTTTCTGTTGTCCTACTTTCCTTTCCTTACTGAGAGGAAAAACCAAGACTTGTGCAACTTTTCATTTCCTTCCATAGAAGCACATCCATCTTAAAAGTATGAAGGACCTTTCCAGATAATTAAATCTGATCAACACATTTTATACTAATAGAGAAACAATGAACCATTATTGGTAGCATACTAGGTACCTCAGCAATTGGGAAATACTTGGAGATAGGAATTCTCCATAGTCTCTTTAATCCACCCCACCTGAATGATTACATAGTTCAACCATTAGGAAGATACTCTGTCCCAGTTCCTGTCACAAACAAATACAATTTTAAGAAACAAGACAGAAGACTTAAAAATGGAAGAGGTTATTTTAATCATGGGAATTCTCTAAATGTCTCCTTGGAATAATTTTAAAGAGTTGGGGGAAAAGCACTTACGAAGTGGTCTCCCAATAACAGACTTTGGAAAAGACAGTGGCAAAAGTTCAGGGTACCCCTGAACCTTGCTTTCCAAAACAATGACAGGAACAACAAAGAAGTAAAAGTAGCGAAGACCAATGCTGAGAATAAGGAACAGTCCTCATTCTTGGAATCTTGGAAAATGGTGGAAACAAGGCGGATGAAAAATTTTTAGGGAGAACACAACTATGGAAAATAGCAACAACTTATCAACTGTTTAAAGAAAAGGTTAAAACTATAGAAAAGGGAAATGTTCAAAGATATATTAAGGGGGGCCATCTTCCAGAATAAAGAGGCTCTCTGTGTCTTAAGAAAATTTCTTTAAAAATGAATAACACTAAATCCTAATAAAATAATATATTTCAAGGCAATAAGATAACATCTCTAAGAATGTAGGCTAAACAAATAGATAATTTACAATGGGAAAAATAAACAGGCGAATTCTCTTCAGCGCCATTAGCCAGACGATAGTGGGGTCATGGTGATGTCCTTTGTTCCCAGGGATTTATAGACTCTCACCATTGGCCTTTGCATATGGGGCTCCCTTTGCCTGGAAAGCACTGTCTCCCCCTCTGATTTACTCCCCTTGTCCTTCAACAGGTAGCTCAGGGAAGCTTGGCCTGACCTCTCATTAGCGTTTCCTGAGCTTAGAGTTCCTCGGCTGTGACTCAAACCCACTGCATGTGCAGCGTCCACCATGGGACCCGGACAAGGGAAGCAGGTGGGGACATGAAGATTATACCACCTGTTGCGCCCCTGGCCTAGGAGTTAATTGTCTTCTGACAGCACCCAGGGCACTGGGGCAGGTTAACTTTTAGCTTGCAGAGGATAAAACCTCAGACCCTTCACAGCTCTTCATATAGATTTAATAAGTAGAAGGACTTACATAAAAAAATAGTATTTTTTTTAAATTCTACTTGTACTAAAATAAGACTTGAATAAATAAAAAGGTTATTCTATTATTGGACAGATGTATTTTAAAATGTAATTTTTACCTAAATTATTCTCTAAATTAAATGCAATCACATAAAAAATCCAAAGTCACTTAAAGAAAAGGACAAAACAAAAGCCAGGAAGGGAGACTTGCCTTCCTGTTTCCTAACATATATTATTATAAAACTATAACAATGGCAACTGTATGGTACAGGAAAAAGGAATCTGATCAATAAAAAAGTTAGTCCAGAAATTAAACAGATATCAAGTTTCCATTTGTTTGTAGTTTAGGATCATTTTATATCAATACTGGAAAGGTGAATAAATGATTTGTGGACAACTGGCACTTGGAAAATAATAAAAATTTTAGCTATGTTTCAGCAAAATAAATTCTAGAGACATCTAAGACTAAGATATATAAAAAATTAAAAACATTAAGTACTGAAGACAATATAGGCAGTATTTTTATACTCTTGAGATGGTGATGGACTTTCTTATTCTGAGGAAAAACTCAGGAAATCTAAGTATGATGGAAAGACTGACAGACATGACAACCTAACCTCCAATGTTTTCATGTAGTAAAAGTAAAACCATGAAAAGGACTGAAAATAAATGAAAACCTGAGGAAACTATTTGAACTATAGAGAGCAACAAAAAGTTAACACACAGAACATCTTTGAATTATTAAAATCAAAATAAGCACTCTAAACAATGAACAGAGATAATTTACAAAAATGAGAGAGAGAGAGAGAATGAGGAGAAACAGAAATAAATGGCTAATTATCACAAGAAAAGATTCTAAACTTTCCCGGTCACCTCCCAAATGAGTAAGCTGCGATATCATTGTGGCCAAGACCGATGAATGCCAACGCCCCTGCCAACAGCCCGCTGGTGAGAAGGGAGAGAGCAGGCGCTCCTGCTCACCGTGGGGAGGGGTAGAAACTAGCTAACCTTCTGCAGGACAATTTGAAAATCACTCAAAAACTTTACACATGCACACGTCCTGATCCAGCTATACTGTTCTTAAGGATTTCTCCTAAGACGATAATCTGAGAAAAACATAAAGATATATGGCCAAAGATATTCTTTGCATACTAATTTTAATAGTGAAATACTGGAAGCAATCAACATCCCTCAAAACAGCCTTAAGCTGGTAAGTTATTTCACATTCATAAAATGGAATACTTTGTAACTTTAAGTATATATGTGTGCATATACATACATTCATGCATATATGAAGATTGCAAATAGTTTAGTATGATTGTAGTCATGTATTTACATATATAGAGATATAAATAAGTCTGCGTATGTTTAAGCGTA